GCCACCTCAGAACCGAGGAACAGGAGAGGCCCACCAAGGGAGGGAAGGGATGCAGAGATGACACAGACAGTGCCACTGACCCACAGCTGCAGAAGTGCTGGCAATTCAGTAAGACAGGAAAACGTGCAGCATGGCAGTGAGAAGAGCAGTCATCACGCCCTGGTAGCCCCAGGAGAATCCACCAGAAACTGCCAGCACTGCTGAGAGCCCGTTGCCTAATGTGCACAAGAGTGCCAGTGCCTCTTACAGGGACACCAAGACGACAAAACGAAACCAAGTTTCCACTCAGAGCAACAGACACTAAACACACAGGACCTCCAGCCCTCAGAGCACCTCCGAAAAGGGCCACTGGCTCACTGCTCCTYCAGCTGCCACGCACACCTGCGGAGTCAATGATCACACACAGGAGACCAATGGGGGGAGGAGAGGCGACACTTGGCGTGTCTCCTGGAGGGGCAGAGCTAGAGGGGCTACCTGCCAGGGGCCAGGCCAGGCAGGAAGAACTCAGGTGGGGCAGGTGGCACTGCTGAGTGACTTGCAGGAACACTTGAGGGGGGAACCTTCCAGGCATGGAGGGCATGGCGAATGCCAAGGTCAGCTGTTACTGTGCACAGTGTGTGGGGGGACCAAGGGAAGCAAGTGGGGCCACAGGAAGGACCTGAAAAAACTTGGATGCACAAACTAAGAAGTGGCAGGCCCAAGAAGCCAGGGGGATGGGGCTGCAGGGAGCAGGACCATAGGAGAAAGAGATGAGGTCCTTCCCCGCCATAGTGGGTAGGTACAGGCCCCACCCTGTGCAGTGCCCACCATGGCAGCCAAGAAGCTGTGGCTCCCTGTAGGCCGAGAGGCCAGGATGGCTTTGCTTTCACATGCTGTGTCTGTCCACTCCTGGGAGGGACTGGTGTCCATACTGCCCTTGAATAACCCAACAGCATCTGAGGACGGGTTCCAATTCTGTGACTAGAGGTGAAGAACCTCCCCTCTCTTGGCCTGCTTCCCCACCTGCAGAACAGGAAGCAGTCCAGGGGCGCTCCAGGCAGCAGGCTCAGACTGAATGGAAAGCAGCCCTCTGTTCCCCTGAGGCTGAGCCATTTCCACCTACTAGGCATGGTCAGACACAGGCACATATCTCTCAGCACAAACTCAGCTCCTGGAGTATAAATGTCAGGGTGCAAGTGCCAGATCTTGCACACAGTTAAGAGCTGGGAGGCCTGTGTCCCACCTCCCCACAAACTGGGTCATACTTCCAGACAGATCCTGATGCCCCCATCCAGTCCACTAGGGGCTCACAGAGAGGCCAACACCTCAACCTCTAAGACACAGCCAAAGGAGGCTGGCTTGGGGTTTTCTGTTTGTTTTTTATTTTTTATTCTTCAGTTTTAGGTGGAYATAATATCTTCATTTTACATTTATGTGGTGCTGAGGATGGAACCCAGTGCCTCGTGCATGCTAGGCGAGCACTCTACCACTGAGCCACAACCCCAGCCCCTGTAATTTTTTTTTTAATGAAATACTGAAACAGGGCCTGGCTGATCTCAAACTCCTTGCTCAAGTGACCCTCCTACCTCAGTTTCCCAAGTAGCTGGGACCACAAGTGTGTGACACTTAGATGTGGGTTTCCTCAATGCTGCTCTGCCAATGGCAGGTCAAGTTAGGCTTTACAGTATGGCTTGTGGATGATCAAAATAACTCGTGATGACAAGAGAAGGTAGTGATGCAAAAACCAGAGACAGGCAGCTGCTGGCCCTATAACTGGTGTCTCRGCATCCTCCTTCCCACCTCAATCCCTGGAGCAAGGTGCAGGTATGAGGAGCAACCTCCCCCCCGTGCTTGCACACCTGACTGGCCCATGGGAGGGCGAGGTGCTCTCTGTATTTCTACCTTTTCAGAGCTTGACTTCTGAATTGGGTGAAGTGATTTGCTGTTTGAAATCAGCAAATTAACAACAATAACAAAAAGATCCTCATGGATGACACATGGAGGCCATTCCAGAAAGTGGTTTCCACCTGGAGCCAGTGGCACAAGTGCCCTCTGGGAGCTGGCCACACCATTCAAGTGCATGGACCAGAGTGCAGGGGCCAAGCATCTCCCTTGATTTGAGAGTGCTGGGCCAGCCCTTAGTAACAGAAAGTGAACACACTGCCTGGGGCAGGAATACGGACTGGCCTACCTCCCTGGAGATGCAGGCACCAGCATAACCTGTTCTGTGGGCCTGAGGTCAGCGCTTACATCTGACACAGTCCTGGATGCTCCTCTCAGCCCCATACAATCTGCAGGCAGAGAAGAGCAACACTGTTCTTGTTGCTGACATGGGCCCTTCTGTCACAGTAGTCACAGGGAATGAGAGGGACACCTATCCAAATTGTCTTTGCTTCCTCAGATCTCCCAGCCCCCACTCACCACCCCCACCCTGTTAGAGAAGCAGAGTCAAAGGTGACCCTGACTCAGGTCTGCAGAGCCCCTGCCCTGTCCACTTCCTCTGCATATCTCAGACCTACCGCAGGTCTCTGATCCAAGTCTGTGGATTATTAACTGCCACCTGTGCTCCTCCGTGCCCTACAGCTGACAAACACCACTGCAGCTTTTAGGGAGCACCTACTGTTCCCACAGACACAGGCATAGCAGGCAGGGTTTGTTCCCCTTTGCAGGGGCAAGGAAGCATGTGAGGATAACAGGGTGGGGAGCTGCCTGGGCATGGGTGGGGTCCAGAGCAGGGGCAGGTACTGACATCATCAGGACAAAGGTACTGAAACACTTCTGCTTATAGGCCTACAGCTGTTTGGCTATACCTGGAAGGAATGAGCTACTTCTGGGGTTACATGGGCTTCACTTGATCAGTGTCATATCCTGGCGGCGGGGGTGCCCAGGCCTGRAGATGGAACAACTGTGAGCACAGGTAGGTGGCTGTGGTCCTGCTGACCCTGGGCATATAACCAGCAACTCCCTCTCTGAGTGTCCCATGTGGAAAGCTTGCAGAGCAGTGAACCACACACTCCAGACTATGCATGTTGGGGCAACCAGCTCCCCTTGCTGCATGCCCGAGCATTCCCAACTGTGCAGCAGGGGTAACTGGCAGCCCTTGAGGGTCATTAATGTCTGTAGAGATAGCCTAGCTGAGTGAATGTTAATTTTGAGCCAGTTATCACTATCAATGTGACTATGAATTATCTGAACTTTGGGGAAAATCATTATACTTTAGTAAGAAATGAAGTCAATCAAGACCCTTCTGAATGGACCTAGAAGCTGACTTTCCCAGAAGCCCTGTACTTTTCAAGGCAGGCTCAGAAGGGCAGTGAAAGGCATATAAGACTGACGGAGGTGCTGTGTCTGTGTAGATGCCAAGGAGGCATGCTGGCTCACTGTGACCTAGGGGAGCTGTTTCTAAAACTCACGAACTGCAGCCTGGGGAAGGTGACAGAGAAAAGGTACAGGCAGAGCCGACATAGGCAGAATACTTGTGACCTTAGCACAAGCTGGCTTCCCAAAAAGCAGCTCCTCCTTTACTCCTCCAAGGCTATGTGCACAAGGCACTCTCCTCATGCTAAACTGTTCTGGGGACCTACATTCTTTAGGAGACATGGGATCAAGTGCAGGTGACACTCAGAGCTAGGGAGAAGGAAGATCACTTCAGATGAGGTCTGATATGACATCTGGGCTGGGCATCAAAGGCACCAAATATCCAGGCAGAGGACAGCAGTGAGGCTGCAAGGCCAGGGCCCTGAAAGGGGCCGATGTGCTGGAGCAAAAGGGAGGCTGTCCAGGCACTGGGGCCTTCAGCCATGGTTGGAGTTTTAGTTTTCCCTTCCCAGAAGCAGACAGGTAGGGCAAGAAGATAGTTCCTTCTGGAGCATGAGGCCACAGTGCAGGAGCTTAGCACAGTACCTGGCTTGCAGGAAGTGCTCAGGAAACTGAGGCAGAGGATCCTGAGTCATCCATTTTCAGCAAGAGCCCCAGTGTGTGCCACCACACACTACAAAGCATCTTAGCTGAGAATCCCGGACCCAGGACCTATCTCAGGTTCCTMGGGTATGCACGGCAGTCTGATAGGCAGTGTGGTGAGCATAAGCCATGAGATCCCACTTTGTGCTCACAGGTTCCTCATCTCTGTCCATCTATCTGTCAGGCAGAAAGCAGCAATTCCATCCCAGGAGCACATCCCCTGGCCACCAGCACCTGACCCTGTGGATCCCAGAACCAATGGATCCCAGAGTTGGGATGTAAACCTGGAAAGCACTCCCACTCAGGACCAGCAGTGACCATGCCCCCTTTTCCAAAGCTTGCTTAGCTTCTGAAACTGAGGATCCCAAATCATCAAACCCTGAATCCTGGGGGAGAAAAGAGCTGGGCACTGAGATGCCTGGGGACCCAAAGCCCAGCCAACAAGGATCCCCAAACTGCGCCACTKAGTCCACCTAGATGGAAATCTGCATTCCTGGGCCCAGCAGAGGCCCTGGAAGAGAGCAGCTTTGGGGGTGCCCTGAGGGCCTGTTCTAGGCAGACAGCGGCTCCCAACCTTTACACCTGTCTTCTGACAGTATCTCATTTCTTGCTCTACTCATCTGGGTTCAGGCAAGAAGGGCAGTATTTGCTCAGCAAACATTGTCCATGATAACTCAGCCAAACGTGCAATATTTTTTACCAATCTATTACCACTGCAGTAAGCAGCCATCACCAAGAGGGGTCTCAGGATTGGCCCTCCCTCTCCCTTCTAAACAGAACCTTGAAGGGGAGGGCAGAACAGGAAGAACCCGAAGTATCCATCTTATCGCTGCCTCCCCAAGCACAGCACTGCCCAGAGGCCCAGCACGCTCGGACACAGTGATAACTTGGCAACAGAAACATAACCGAAACAAGGCCCACAGTGTGACCCGGCCTCCCGGCCGCTCGGATGCCCTCGCACGGAACTAGGTCTTCGCGCCGACTCTGCGGGGCGYGCGGTCCCGGGCCGGCGGCAGGCAGGGCTCCCGTGGTCCCGGCAGGAGCTTCACGCGCCCACCTACCTCCAGGGCCTCCAGCGTGCTGAAGCTGGCGATGGCGAAGCCGTCGATGACCTCCTCCTCCTGCGAGCTGGACTCGCGGCGGCGGCGGCGCGGGGGGCGCGCTGCGCGGGGCGCCGGGCGTGGGGGCGGCGCGCCGCGGAGGCCCGCGTTCTCCTTGCCGGGGCTAGGCTCGGGCTCTTCGCCCGACGACGGGCTCTGCGCGCGGGCGTCGCGGGCGGCCTCCCTGCGCCGGCCGCGGTCCCGCTGCGCGCGCGAGCGCCGACTCGGCCGGACCTTGGCCTCCATGGCGGCCCGCGGCGGTGACCTTGGCCCCGCGCCGCCTGCTACGCCGCGCAGCCGGGCTGCAAGGATGCCGCGCGGGCTCCGGGCCGGGCCGGGCCGGGCATGCCGGGCGCGGGCGCTCAGCGCCGGACGCCGCGCGGCCTGGGACCCCCGGCCCGGGCCCCGCACATCGGCAGGCGGCCGCGATCAGCGAACCTCGGCCAGGCCCCCGAGGGCGCGCCCCATGGCAATCGGCGAGCGGCAGCGGGCGACCGGGCGCGGAGRGAGGCAGGGCTCTTGGGCACCAGACTCGTGAGGCGGTGGCGGCAGCGGCAGCGGCGGCGCCCCGAGCGGATAACAACTGACGCACTTCCGCCCGGCTGGATCGCCAGAGGAAGTGGGCCTGCACCAGGAGCCCGCCCGCCTGCCGGGCCCCGCCCAATTGGCCCCGCCCCCTCGGGGCCCGCTCAGCCCCACCCCACTGGCCGGGCTCGCTATCAGACCACGCCCCTCGGCGGTCCGCTGCGCCCCACCTCTCCTTTCAGACCCCCGCCCCGCTCTGCTTAACCCCGCCCCKTCAGGCCCCGCCTCCATAGCAGGCCACGCCCCCGAGGAGGTCCTCCTCCCTAGTCAGACTCCGTCCCCTCCGCTCTGTTCTTCTCAGCCCCGCCCCGCCGACCTAGCTTAGCCGCACCAGGCCCCGCCCCTCTGCTCTCTGAGCCCCGCCCCTATAACCACGCCCACCAATCAGGCTCCGCCCCTCAGGCAAGCTCGTGGTGGTCTGCGCGGTGCCTCCTATTCCCACGTAGGCGGGGCAGGGTTCCCGAGCCAGGCGGCCGGGGCTGCTGCCAGGGGACGCTCGGTACCCGAGCACGTGAGCAAGAGCGGGCCTCCTGCCCCGCAGCCCGCCGGCTTCTCCCCAGCCCCCGGGGTCGGAGGCCACGTTCGGCCCCATCAGCCTTCCTGGACTCCGCGGTGACATGACCTTGGGCCCGGGACGCACCCACGGGGACTCGCCTGGGCCTCTGCTCTGCCAGGCTGCCTGGTGCTGCAAGCCAGCGGTGGGCTTCGGCGGGTTGGAAAGGCAGGGCAGGGGCGCGGGGAATTGGAACCTACACTTAGGGACAAACGTCCTCTTTCCTCAGGCGGGGCTGCTGAGGTTGGAGGGCTTGACCCGAGGCATTTCCTGGGGCACTTGTGCAGACCCTAGGCGAGCAAGGTGGTCTGAATTGGGTAATTCATGCAATACCTACCAAATGCCTCCTACGCCCAGACCTGTTCACCATGCAGTAATGAATGAAACAAGGGACACTTTCAGAACTGGTGGCAAGACCCTGAGCCCATGGCCAAATAAAAAAACACGGGAGGCCCAGCAGAGAGGCCCTCTGAGAGGGGAAGGCTGGGGCTGACATCTGTAGCCTGCAGGAAGGTGCAGAGCAGTGGAGATCCTTTTGGCAGAGGCTTGAACCCTGCAAGGACACCTGAAGAAGGGCATACCCTTGTCTGCTGTCCCTTGAAAGGTCAAGGCCTCTGAGTGTACAGGCCAGGAGGTGTGGTCTGGGTGTCACCAGGCTGTGTCAGGGTTCTCCCTAGGGCAGCTGGGAAGGTGACTCAGGGTTGACCTAGGCCCTTCCTGTCACCCCCCCCCCAGCCTCCTTAGAGCTTTGTAATGAAAGCACCCACTCTTCCCCCAGACCCTCCCTTTGATTAACAGGTGAACCAGAGCGGGCTCCCATTCCTGTCCGTCAGTCCTCTTTGAGAGTAGGAGCCTGAGAGTGTGGATGAGGGTCACATGCTCAGTGCCTCAGTCTCAGAGGCTTCTTCCAGGAGGTACTGGGAACCACACCTCTCTGGAGACTGCCCCACCCCCAACCAGCAGAGCTTCCTGTGGCCCCTTTCCTGCATTCCCTTTCCCGCATTCCCCTCCTGCTGAACAATTGCTTAGACTGCTGAGGTTCAGGATTGGAAGTTTTCAAATATAGAAATAAACTTTGCTCATTTAGTCTCCAGGGATGCTTGGATGTGTGTCCCCAGTGAAGGGCAGGGTGTCTGGACACTCTGTTTCTGCATTCCCTCTGGTTTCCTTAGCTTTCCTGGGGAGGAGTCCCCAGGTGCCTTTATTCATTTCCAGGTGGCACATAGCCCATGTGGGGACCAGCTGGCATCTCTGGGATTCCTGGCTCAGTTGTTCCCCAGGGAAGTCTTGCTCTGAGGAATCTTCCCTGTAAGCAGAGAACATATGGGCCCACAGGAAGCAGCTGGAGGTTAGGTCTGAGGGTGGTCTGGTACCCAAGCTTCTAAGCCTGATGGTGTGCCCATGCTCTTTTGCCTTCAGAGGCACATCTTAATAGCTGCATACCCTGCCCAGGACTCTAAACTTGCCCTTGAGTGTTTGGAAGGGCCCTGCTAGAGCTTGCCCCATAAACCCCACTGCATCCCCCACTTCCTTCCCTTTGCAGTTTGAGGTAGAGCCACTTGCTCCTTGTTTCAGTTAGTGTGTATGCAACAATGTACCTGGGGAAGGAGAGGCTGCTTGGGTGCAGAACTCAAAACGTGCAGAGCTGTGACTGACAGACACATGCAGCTCCCAAGGCCTGGCAAAACTGGATTTTACATTTTGCTCGGTTTTAATCTGAAGCTCAATGGCTTTACGCAGCTAGCAGCAGGTTTTGGGCAAGGCAGTTCTACCACTAGACTGCTGGATCCGTCCTCAGCTCCCATTCACTGGCAATGTGTCAACAAATGATTTAACTTCTCTGGGCTCAGTTGTCCTATCTGTGGAGTGGGGGTGGGTGGTGGCATAAGTTAGCAGCCAGCCTTAAGAGGGCATCTGCATGATAGCAGGGAGGAGGCTCAACTTCCCTTGTCCTGGACACCCAGAATCCCTGAGCCCTGGGTCTGAGCTGGGCTTAAAACCCCCTTTCACAGCTCTCTGGGTGTGCTGGTCTGTGAACAGCAGTTTGAATGACCAGCACCTGCTGCCATTTGTAGGCAGGACCCAGAGTCTTGATCTCCCTGGCCACAGTCCCTGATTGACACCCCTCCTACCAACTCCTCCCTTGCCAGTCATCCCTCCCCTTTCCTTCTGCCCTCAGCACTGGCTCACAGTGCTCTTTCTGGGATCCCGGGACTCAGCTCTTTGGTACCAGCCCCTATTCCAAACCTCAGGACCCATTCTTCCTGTCAGCCCATGGGAAAAGGGAATGGAGTCCTCCATCTGCAAGGACCCTGCAGGCAGGGAAAGCTCCAAGGGCAGTGGTTTCTGTAGGTGGTTGTCAAAGAAGAACCAACTTATCACTGGGCATCTGTAGCCCAGACCCCACCCATTCCCTGTCCCCAGCACAGGCCCTCACCTGGCTACCAACCTCCAGCCCAGGTCCCACCCTTTCCCATCCCCCAGCCCAGGTCCCACCCTTTCCCATCCCCCAGCCCAGGTCCTCACCTGTTCCCTGCTCCCAGCCAGGCCCTTACCTGGCTACCATCCCCCAGTCCAGGTCTCTACCCTTTCCCATCCCCCAGCCCAGGCCCCCACCTGCCACTTGCTGCTCCCTGACTAAGTGCTCTCTGAAAGGCAATGCAAGCAACAATTTGCTTCCAGTCTGGCCTGCCCTTGGAGCCGGCATGCTCTTCTGCAAGGCWCAGTGCAAAGTTGATTGACAGTGCAAAGTTGATTGAAGTTGTATGCAAACATTCTTAGCTGGAAAACTCATTCCACTTCTAAGGGATCAGCCCATGCACCATCCTTGAGCCAGCTGTTTGTTCTACCACCAGGATGGATATCTGCATGTCTGTCCCTCTGGCCTCCGCTCCACCTCCTTCCCAGTGTGTTTTGGCTCAGAGCAGGCTTCCATAGATACAGTCTGGTGGGAAGTCTGCCCAAGACCCACCCTCCCAGCTAAATGGTCAGCTGTGATAATGCTGCATCACAAAAGCCCCTGGACTCTCAGTAACAATACAAACTGCTGTTTTCTTGCTCATGGGGCTATAGGTTGGCAGGAGGGTTAGGGCAGGCCTGTTCAGAAGGCCTCTTTCTCTGTGCGCAGGGTGGAAGGGAAGGCCATGGGAGCACCCTCTCTCCTGAGCTCACAAGGCCACACAAACTTTGAGCAAGCCACTACCTCTGTAATGGGTTCCCTTGATGCTTGGACTATATCCCTTGTGGCTTTGAAGCGTACATGATTTTTTTTTTCCCCTAAACTTCTCCTCCCTGATCTTCTTTTCCCTAAACTTTTCCTTCCTGATCTTTCCACGCTACATTTTCTCTGTTCCCTGCCCCCAGCATAGGTTCCCACCTGGCTACCATCCAATGATAACAGCCCTACTGATGGGCACAATCACAGCCTTTGGGACAGGAGTCCCCTGTGTTTCTTTCTTTCTTTCTTTCTTTCTTTCTTTCTTTCTTTCTTTCTTTCTTTCTTTTTTTTTTTTTTTTTTTTTTAGAGGGAGAGAGAGAGAGAGAGAGTTTTAATATTTATTTATTTTTTAGTTTTCGGCAGACACAACATCGTTGTTTGTCTGTAGTGCTGAGGATCAAACCTGGGCCGCAAGCATGCCAGGCGAGTGCTCTACCACTTGAGCCACATCCCCAGCCCCCCTGTGTTTCTCCTTCGATAGCAAATCAATAAGTATTCTTTCTCCTTTTTCTCAAAACCATGTCCTCCTTACTGGATTGGCATGGGGACAAGGACCCAGCTTTTGGCAACCCCTCTTCCTGCAGGCTCCTTCCCTGTGCAAGTCACAAGGCCAGCACCCAGGGGCAGGAAGTGGGCCCCTGCTGGGCGTGGGCATGGCACTGCAAAGTCACAGTTACAATTTGTTTCTGCAGAAAATTTTAAGTGAAATTCAACAACTGAAAGACTCTGTTATTTGGCTAAGAACAAGTACAAGACTTAGATGGGCTCAGAACTTCAATGTCATGAATTTCACCCAGTGTTGCGTTATTAGAGTTCCATGTAATGATACCGAAATTCAATGGCAAAATGTAATTAATTAATCACCCAATGGGACACGATCCTTTTCATAAT